TTTACGGAGATAAAACTGAATACTATGACTGTCTATAAGATATTGATATAGTCTACCTTTTGATGAAGCTGCTATCTTTGCCAACATATTTTGCTTAGTAACATCTTTCAATCTGTGTTCAATAATTTCAAAAGTGTTTACCAATGGTAGATTCGATTCAAAAATATAACCAAGACCTAGGGCAGTTAATTCATTCTTAATGTTACAAATCCACGGATCATTCACGTTGACACATTCATCATAACAAGTTTTTAATATCAAATTATCAGATTTCGTCATACTTGTCATCAGTCCTGTATCTGTATTATTGATATACCTGTATCAGTGACATACCTGAAATCAGTCCTGTACCTGTATCAGTGACATACTTGTCATCAGTCCTGTATCTGTATTAGTGATATACCTGTATCAGTGACATACCTGAAATCAGACCTGTATCTGTATTAGTGATATACCTGTAATCAGTCCTGTACCTGAATCAGTGACATACTTGTAATCAGTCCTGTACCTGTATTAGTGATATACCTGAAATCAGTCCTGTACCGTGTCCAGTGACATACCTGTAATCAGTCCTGTACCTGTCCAAGTGATATACCTGTAATTAGTCTAAACCTGTATCAGTGACATACTGGTAATCAGTCCTGTACCTGTCCCAGTGATATACTTGTTATTAGTCTGTACCTGTATCAGTGACATACTTGTCATCAGTCCTGTACCTATATAAGTGACATACTTGTAATCAATCCTGTACCTGTATCAGTGACATACTTGTAATCAGTCCTGTACCTATATCAGTGATATACCTGTAATTAGTCCTGTACCTGTCCCAGTGACATACTTGTAATCAGTCCTGTACCTATATCAGTGATATCCCTGTAATTAGTCCTATACCTGTCCCAGTGATATACTTGTCATCAGTCCTGTACCTGTATTAGTGATACCATACTTGTAATCAGTCCTGTACCTGTATCAGTGATATACCAAGGCCTGTAATTAGTCCTGTACCTGTCCAAGTGACATACTTGTAATCAGTCCTGTACCTGTCCCAGTGACATACTTGTAATCAGTCCTGTTCCTGTATCAGTGATATTCCAAGGCCTGTAATTAGTCCTGTACCTGTCCCAGTGACATGCTTGTAATCAGTCCTGTACCTGTCCAGGGACATACTTGTAATCAGTCCTGTACCTGGCCCAGTGATATACTTGTAATCAGTCCTGTACCTGTCCCACTGATATACTTGTAATCAGTCCTGTACCTGTCCGAGCTATATACTTGTAATCAGTCCTGTAACTGTCACAGTGACATACTTGTAATTAGTCTGTAACTGTCCAAGTGATATACCTGTAATTAGTCTGTACCTGTCCCAGTGATATACTTGTAATCAGTCCTGTACCTGTCCGAGCGATATACTTGTAATCAGTCCTGTAACTGTCCCAGTGACATACTTGTAATTAGTCTGTACCTGTCCAAGTGATATACCTGTAATTAGTCTAAACCTGTATCAGTGACATACTTGTAATCAGTCCTGTTCCTGTCCCAGTGATATACTTGTTATTAGTCTGTACCTGTATCAGTGACATACTTGTAATCAGTCCTGTACCTATATAAGTGACATACTTGTAATCAGTATACTTGTAATCAGTCCTGTACCTGTCCCAGTGATATACCTGTAATTAGTCTAAACCTGTAACAGTGACATACTTGTAATCAGTCCTGTACCTGTATCAGTGAGATACTTGTAATCAGTCCTGTACCTATATAAGTGACACACTTGTAATCAGTCCTGTACCTGTCCGAGTGATATACTTGTAATCAGTCCTGAACCTGTCCGAGTGACATACTATACCTGTAATTAGTCTGTACCTGTATCAGTGACATACTTGTAAGCAGTCCTGTACCAGTCCCAGTGATATCCTTGTTATCAGTCTGAACCTGTCCGAGGGACATACTTGTAATCAGTCCTGTACCAGTCCCAGTTATATACTTGTTATCAGTCTGAACCTGTGCGAGTGACATACTTGTAATCAGTGAATCAGTGACATACTTGTAATCAGTCCTATACCTATATAAGTGACATACTTGTAATCAGTATACTTGTAATCAGTCCTGTACCTGTACCAGTGATATACTTGTAATAAGTCATGTACCTGTCCGAGGGATAGACTTGTAATCAGTCCTGAACCTGTCCGAGGGACATACTTGTAATCAGTCCTGTACTAGTCCCAGTGATATACTTGTTATCAGTCTGTACCTGTCCCAGTGACATACTTGTTATCAGTCCTGTACCAGTATCAGTGACATACTTGTAATCACTCCTGTACCAGTCCCAGTGATATCCTTGTTATCAGTCTGAACCTGTCCGAGTGACATACTTGTAATCAGTACTGTACCTGTATCAGTGATATACTTGTAATAAGTCATGTACCTGTCCGAGTGATAGACTTGTAATCAGTCCTGAACCTGTCCGAGTGACATACTTGTAATCAGTCCTGTACCTGTCCGAGTGATACACTTGTAATCAGTCCTGTACCTGTTCAAGTGATATACTTGTAAACAGTCTGTACCTGTCCCAGTGACATACTTGTAATCAGTCTGTACCTGTCCCAGTGATATACTTGTAATTAGTCTGTGCCTGTCCCAGTGATATACCTGTAATTAGTCTGTACCTGTCCCAGTGATATACTTTTATTAGTCTGTACCTTTCCCAGTGATATACTTGTAATTAGTCTGTGCCTGTCCCAGTGATATACCTGTAATCAGTTCTGTACCTGTCCCAGTGACATACCTGTAATCAGTCTGTACCTGTCCCAGTGATATACTTGTAAACAGTCTGTACCTGTCCCAGTGACATACTTGTAATCAGTCTGTACCTGTCCCAGTGATATACTTGTAAACAGTCTGTAACTGTCCGAGTGACATACTTGTAATCAGTCCTGTTCCTGTATCAGTGATATTCTTGTACTCAGTCCTGTCCCTGTCCCAGTGACATACTTGTTATCAGTCCTGTACCTGTCCGAGTTATATACTTGTCATCAGTCCTGTACCTGTATCAGTGACATACTTGTAATTTGTCTGTACCTGTCCCAGTGATAAACTTGTAATCAGTCTGTACCTGTCCGAGTGACATACTTGTAATCAGTCCTGTACCTGTATCAGTGACATACTTGTTATCAGTCCTGTACCAGTATCAGTGACATACTTGTTATCAGTCCTGTACCTGTCCGAGTGATATCCCTGTAATTAGTCTGTACCTGTATCAGTGATATACTTGTAAACAGTCTGTACCTGTATCAGTGACATACTTGTTATCATTCCTGTACCAGTATCAGTGACATACTTTTAATCAGTCCTGTACCTGTATCAGTGACATTCTTGTAATCAGTCCTGTACCTGTATCAGTGATATACTTTTAATAAGTCCTGTACCTGTCCGAGTGATATACTTGTCATCGGTCGTGTACCTGTATCAGTGACATACTTGTAATTTGTCTGTACCTGTCCCAGTGATAAACTTGTAATCAGTCTGTACCTGTCCGAGTGACATATTTGTAATCAGTCCTGTACCTGTATCAGTGATATACTTGTAAACAGTCTGTACCTGTATCAGTGACATACTTGTAATTTGTCTGTACCTGTACCAGTGATAAACTTGTAATCAGTCTGTGCCTGTCCGAGTGACATACTTGTAATCAGTCCTGTACCAGTATCAGTGACATACTTTTAATCAGTCCTGTACCTGTATCAGTGATATACTTGTAATCAGCCCTGTACCTGTATCAGTTACATACTTGTAATCAGTCCTGTACCTGTATCAGTGACGTACTTGTAATCAGTCCTGTACCTGTATCGGTGATATACTTGTAATCAGCCCTGTACCTGTATCAGTTACATACTTGTAATCAGTCCTGTACCTGTATCAGTGACATACTTGTTATCAGTCCTGTACCAGTATCAGTGACATACTTGTAATCAGTCCTGTACCTGTATCAGTGA